ATTCTATCTACCTTCTTCCTTACCCTTCCTCCCTTTAGGCTGATTTGTTCTATGAACTATCATTTTACCTTTCCCAGAATTCCAAATAAATGCAATTAGCTAGCTTCTGAATTTGACTTTTATTATATACCAAACTTCATTTTGGATCCATTCATGCTGTTGTTTTGTGTTTTAGGTCAGGGTCTTTACCTTTTACACTTTCTATTTCATATCTATTTCTATATCATAGAAAAGATAGTATGTTGATTCTGACCCTCATTATTCGAATGTTGGACCCTGGGAGCTCTTAGATATATAATACAGACCTATTACTTTTAAGAAACATTTCCTGAGGGGGCTGGAGAGATGGCTCAGTGGTTAAGAGTACTGACTGCTCTTCCAGAGGACCGGGGTTCAATTCCCAGCACCCACATGGCAGCTCACAACTGTCTGAAGATCCAGTTGCAGGGGGTCTGACACCTTCACACCAATGCACATAAAATAAAGTTAAATAAGCCATAAAATATTTTTAAAAAAGAAACATTTCCTGACTTTCCGATACCATAAGATGGTACAATCTCAACCTGAATTTTCACTACACATAGGCCTAGAACCAAGCATTTTTCAAAGACCTATCATTAGAGATTTTGAGATCTTCGCTCTCTAACTGTGCTCAGTGCTCTGAGGCAGAATTTTATCTAAATGTCTCAGCAGATAGAAGTAAGAAATATGTTTTTACGGGCTGGGGGGATGGCTCAGAGGTTAAGAGCACTGGCTGCTCTTCCAGAGGTCCTGAGTTCAATTTCCAGCAACCACGTGGTGGCTCACAGCCATCTTAATGAGATTGGGTGTCCTCTTCTGGCCTGCAGACAGACAGGCAGGCAGAACACTGTATACATAATAAATACATAAATCTTTAAAAAAAAATAAAGAAGTATGTGTTTACTAACCCAAGATAGAAATCTATGTGTGGGTTACAACACAGTATTGGGGAATCATGAGATATTTAGCAACAAAGAAAATGTTTATTGATGTGCAATGAGCAAAAGTTCATTCAAGGTTCCCTGGAAACCCTGCCCATCCTGTGTCAATCAAACCTCATCTGTGCCCTAGGGGGAAGGTTGTAACCACCATAGCCAGCAGAGTAGCGATTCATGGGAGGCAAGAAAGCAGTTCAGTTCAACCTGACTAAGTAGCTGGTGTTGGTTCATACTGTCTGGCTGGGGTGAGGTTAATTTAGACTAGCACACATACTTACATCATTTCAATGTTCACGGTGTATCCAAGAGGGTCCCCTCTTTTCTTTTAGGGGACATTCTCTGAACTACTGTGGAAATTCCCAGTTAAGGACCCATTCCCTGCCTAGTCTCTCAGTCGTACCCTTCTACATGCATTGTCCCCTGGCAGCAACAAGCCTACTCATGTAGAATTGGTTAGATGTCTGTTCTCTGGTACCTTCTGTGTGATTAGCATGGTAGCTGACCAGATTTTATCAATATGGTTTTTTGGGGGGGCTGTGGCAAGTGCTTCATGGAGAACCATAAATGTAGAATCATCATTATGGGTGGAGTTTATAGATCTGCATTGCCTGGTCCAAGAAGTATTAAAGGAATTGGAGCTTTTGATGGTCGAAAGAATTGCAAAGCATCACCTGGAGTTAGAACTGTTGAGCACCAGAAGAAATAAACTGGACATGTAGGCTAAAAATGCAGGAGCCAAGTGGAAGAAACAGATGGATGAGTGTGAGTGGTCCCTCAGAGGAAAGTAACCAGGCAAGATGGCCAGCCATTTGCTTCACATTCCATGAACCAAATCTTCTTTTTGTTCCTTGTTCTCAAAAAATCACTGGCATGTTTGATGTTTTAGAGATTTTCTTGTACTTGTGAAGACTTGTTGGTATAAGACAACATGTCTTTCCTTTGTTATACCTCCCACTTGAGCTGTGATCAGTAAATCTAGGGTCCAGTAGCTCTAGACTATAATTATTGCATGCTAATTTTATATTCCTGTATTATCAAAAGTCTGTGAGTTGGTGTAGTTAGTTGTGAGTTCTATAGGTAGTTTCTGGGTAGTAAAAATAGAATTTGTAAGACCCTCCCCTAACTCTTATACCTTTGGTGAGAGTAAGGCCTGGAACCTAACAATTTACTTTAGATCAGAGAGATATATTAAGGTAGAGATATTCACTTCTAGTCAAATGTGACTTTTGGAAGGGTATAAGCAGGGTATGTAGTTCTGATCAGTTGATTGGGCGGCAAAGCTAGGCTTGCCAAGGTTATATAAGCAAAGTTTATGTGGTCATTGGGATCCAAGAGGTTAGTAGTGAAGGAAAGAGTGAACTTTGGAATGGTTCCAGCAGTGCACATACAAGATGGAGATCATGGACATGCTTGTCAGTGGTATAAGGCCCTGTGTACGAAAGGAGAGTATAGGCAAGGACGCAGGTGAGAGATGAGCTTCTGGGGTGGCCTCTGGGACCAAGGAGGGATAAGGTAGAGGTTGAGGGAGAGGAAGAAGGCAGTGGTGGGAAGACTAAATGGTCAGGAGTGTGAGGGAGGAGAGGCAGTTAAGAGATATGGTTCAGAGGGTGTTTGGAGGCCAATGATGAGCGATTCGGTGGGCTAAAGGAAGAGGGGGTGTGATGCAGAGAGAGAAAGGAAGCCACAGGTGAAGTCTGATAGAGGGGAGCTCACCTGTCAGATCAGGATCTGAGGAACAGTCCAGGAGATTAGGCTTAAGAGTTCAAGCTAGTGAAACTGCGTATGCCGACACGGGAGAAAGGGAAAGAACAGGCATGCAGATAAACAAGGCCTGGAGCTAGAGAACCTCTAACCACTTGCCATTGCATTGGAAGGAGTTGTGAGGACCCACAAGATGGCAGGGTTGAATGTGCCAAATTCAGGCCATCAGTTTTGGTTGCTGAGGGCAAATTGGGGCCAGATCCTAATAGAAATTCAGATGAGGCAGGGGACTTTACTACTCCGTTGAGCTCAAATTGATTGTTTTTGTTTGTTTGTTATAACCACATCTCACTGTGTAGATCTGGCTGTCCTGGGAGTCACGGTGTAGGCATCATACCCTACTTGTTTGAATTTTTAAAATTAGATTTATTTTATGTGTATGAGTGTTTTGTCTGCGTGTATGTGCAACATGTGTATTCCTGGTGCCTGTGGAGGTCCCAAGAGGACAATAGATCTCTTGGAACTGGAGTTACAGACAGTTGTGATCCACCATGTGGGTTCAGAGAACTGAATCCGGGCCCTCTGGAAGAGCAGCAAGTGCTCTTGAACACTGAGCCATCTCTCCAGCCTCTCATTTGAAAGTTTTTAGGAGGCAGGTTGTCTTAGTTTTCTAGTAGTGTGACAAAACCCCATGACGAGAGCCATGTCATTTTCTTTATAGAAAAAAAAAAGGTTTAATTGGGAGTACAATTCCAGGGTGTTAGAGTCCATGAGGAGCAAGGCATGGCGACAGGAACAGCTGATCCACAAGTAGGAGGCAGGGAGACACAATGGGAATGGCTCCAGCCTTTTGAAACCTCAAAGCCCACCCTTAATGACACATCTCCTCCGGCAAGATCTTGCTACATGTTGAATCTTTTAGATAAAATCTACCGTCGGGTTTTATTTTTGTTGTTTGAAAATTTGATACGTGTATACAACATACCTTTATCATGTAACCCTGTAACATGAGGGGGCTGGGCCTGTTTGTTTGTGGGTTTCTGTCCCTCCCGGTTCCCCTGAGCTGTTTAGTCCCAGAGAAAAATCACACAGAGATCTCTATAAGTTATAAAGTTGATTGGCCCATTAGGTCAGGCTACTTATTAGCTAACTCTCACATCGTGATTAACCCATTTTTCTGATCTATTTTAGCCATGTGGCTCAGTACCTTTTTCAGTTGGGCAGCTCACATCCTGCTGCTTCGGTGATCTGGGCAGGAGTGGGAGGAATCAACTTCCTCCTCCCCAGAATTCTCCTGCTCTCCTTGCATCATTTCCACTTCCTGTCTGATTTTCCCACCTACACCTCCTGCCTGGCCAATCAGTGTTTATTTAAAACATGATCGACAGAATACAGACAATTCTCCCACACCATAACCCCACTCCCTTCCTCCAACTCTCTCTGCCTCCTTCCAACACATCTCCCTCCCAACTTCTTAATTACTTTAGACAATAATCTTCTGAATCTAATTAGTGCTGCCCATGTGCAGATGGGCATGGGGACATCCCCTGGGACATGGGTAACCTACCAGTGACTACTCCCAATATTTTCCCTTCTCAATATTTACTTTAAAATTCTGGACATTGGGGAGGGGGTGTATTTTTGCTCTACAATTTCAAGATCTAGATAAACGCAGGGGTGATAATCTAACTTGAACAATATTGCTTTTCATTCATGAGGGTACACTTGGGCAAGTTCTTCTTATAAATCAGAATTGACAGTTGGCATAAATGCTAATAAACTCCTGAGTGCCAGATATCCCAGACCATCCCTGTAAATCCACAGACTAGCCATGGCATAGATGCTGGCAAACTCCTGAGTGCCAAAGATACCCCAGACCACCCTTGTAAAGCAAGAGACTACCTATGGCTTAAATACTGGCAAATTTCTGGGGGTCACAGATACCCCGAACCACCCCTGTAAAGCGAGAGACTAACCATCCAACAATGTGATTCAGTTTCCTTCATGTTTCACTTCTACATACTCAAAACTTAAGAGTTTAAATTCATTTTTTATTTCTTTGTGCATAAACTGAGCTATTTCTTCCAGAAGCCCTGGCACTGGATAGAGCCTGTCATTTAGCTGACTTCTTCCAACCAGTGGCAGACTGAGTTGACTGGGTTAAGAAATCTCTCTCTCTCTCTCTCTCTCTCTCTCTCTCTCACACACACACACACACACACACACACACAAATTACATAGATGCCATGTTTTATGAGATAGTTAGAAAATGATAAATGATATTAGAAAACTAGTCATTGTCTTAGAAGAAAATAAATGAATGTCAAGGGAAAAGAACAATTGAAAATTTAGTTCAATTTAATTGACACAATGTTTATTTCATATATTTGTTACATTTCATCAGGAAACTTGTTTTAATGTAACAATTCAGTAAGTAAAAAAATCACATTTCTTTGGGAAAAAATACTTCTAAGCCTAGGCTTTTTCCACATATAAATACAATGCACAAAATAAATATACTACACAGAAGTCACCCACAAATATACTGCTGCATCATGTTTAATAAACAGAACATTTATAAGAGTGGGCTCAGGACCCGCTGCAGGGTGTGCAGCCCGGAGTAAAAGGAACTCATGTGGTAAAGTGCTGAGTCATCAATGTCTTAGGCTCTCTTAGCCATGTGGTCTGCCTCTATTACTCAGCTCTGCCAGCAGTGTGAGGGCAGCCACAGGCAGAGTGTAAGCAAATGGGTTTGGATTCGTGTTTTCAAAGTGCTTCATTTAGAGACACTGACATTTTGTTTCATGTCACCTTCATGTGTCACAAAACATTTCATTCTTGAAATATTTGAGTAATAAAAAAGTGATCTCAGCTTAGAGGCTATAAGAATGGGCTGTGGATCCGGCAGATGGACCATGGTTCATGGGTCTGCTCCTGAGCCACCGTGGGTAGACACACAGCCAAATCAAATCAAGGCACTAACAGCAATCAGGTGGGAGACAGGTAGTGGGCTGCCGACCTTTCAATGTATGACTCAGGATATAAAAATTAATGAGAATATTACCGAATGTCGAGGTTTTACGTTTTACAGACACTGTTCTGAGTGCTTTACAATGCCAATCCATTTCAACCTCAAGGCAATTTTAGGGTGCCACTGCCGTTGCTCTCACAGGAAATGAAGCTGAGGCACAGTGAAGTTGCATGGCATGCCCATGCTTGGGTCTGGGTCAAGGTAGTAGGAGCCTAGAATCTCAGTTTTAGCCACTGGCCATGTTGCTTCCGCTACCCAGAAAGAGAAGAAAAAACAATGAGGTATTTTTCATACAAAATACAAACACAGATACCACCGCTCCACAACATCTACAGTAGGATAAGTTCAGACTGCTTCAGCTGCATCTCCAACCCAAAGTTCAGCTGATCACCATATAGCTGGAAAAATTACAGAGGCGTTTAAGTGTCTTTTGAAGGGTCCACTTAGTGACAATGTCTGAACCCATTTGTAAGTGCCAGGAAGTAGATGAAAAGATACACTATGTGTTTAAAATATACACCAACGGAGGTTACTGCTGATGTGCAAGTGTTCCCACACATTCTAGCTACTGAGTTTAGGCACAATAACCGATGAGTCCCACGGGCAAGTTACACATGTACAAATGTGTTTTGTAGATACCCACATACACACCTACATTCTACATATCAAAAACATGTCTCTGTTTAGTGGTGTTTTCTGATTATTTTAGCTCTCTAAATAGTTTGATATGTGTGGTATTTGTTGGTTTCTGGTTTTGTTGTTTGTTTCTTTAGGAAGGAAAATCAGTCTTGGAACTGGCAACATGATTCACAGCGTGACTGCTGCCTTCAGGATAAATTCCTTTCGTTTTTCTTAAAAATATTTCAAATCCTGAAAATGCCTACCTAGCTATGATCAAAGTATTTGTATAACTAGCATTCAGTGACGGATGTGTTCCTGATAAGGCTTCCATATCTGCTGCAATCTGTGCACTCATTCCCCTTGATCTCTTTAAGACAAGTGCAACTGTGTGAGAGACTCCTGAGGGCTCGGACACGCACGGGAGATCCCCACTATGTACTTGGGACGTGTAGCGCCTGATGCTAGGACAGAACTTCTGGACACTCACTCACTTGATTTCTGCCCCATTTTATCTTTCATGTCTTACAGTTTCTGTCACCCGATGTCTATAAAAATTGACCGTATTGTAAATGTCTTCCTAAGAACACCACAGAATTTCCTTCTATACACGTGCTGATAATTCTATACGGAAAAGATAAACATGGCTGACAAATCTTTTCTCGATATTTAGACGGTTCTCCTTCTGTGTGGATTACATCAGAAGGAGGAACTACTGCTGCGGGAGCTCCTTCTGCTCCTCAGCTAATAGCCGCTGAAAGCCGGCCCTCATGTTACAAACTATGGCAGGAACCCGGAACTCAGGCTACTTGGAAGTTTTCCCCTTCTTGGTATGTGTCTTCTGATGTGTGGTGAGTTGTGACCTCTGGATAAAGTTTTCCCCGCACTCCTGGCACTCATAGGGCCTCTCCCCCGTGTGCTTCCTCTGGTGTATGACAAAATGTGACTTCTGAGAAAAGGACTTCCCACATATGTCACACTCATAGGGCTTCTCTCCCGTGTGAGTCCTCTCGTGTAGTCTGAGGACGGAGTTTACAGAGAAGGATTTGCCACACTCCGTACACTCATAGGGCTTCTCCCCGCTGTGTTTCCTCTCGTGTTTGGTGAGGTCTGACTTATAGTAAAAGGTTTTCCCACACCTACTGCATTCAAAGGGCTTCTCCCCAGTGTGGGTTCGCTGGTGCACAGTGAGGGCTGACTTCTGGTAGAAGCAGTTGCCACATTCCTTACACTTGTAGGGCTTCTCGCCGGTGTGCGTTCTCTGGTGTGTTTTGAGGTGTGAATTCCTCGAGAAGAGCTTCCCGCATTCCTTACATTTGTAGGGTTTCTCCCCTGTGTGGGTCCTCTGATGGACTGTGAGGTGTGACTTTTGGGAAAAGAACTTCCCACACTCCTTACACTCGAAAGGTTTCTCCCCTGTGTGTGTCTTTTGGTGCACCAGGAGGTATGCCTTCACGTAGAAGAACTTCCCACACTCCTTACACTCGAAAGGTTTCTCCCCGGTGTGTGTCTTCTGGTGTTCCATGAGGTGCGGCTTCTGGTAGAATGATTTCTCGCACTGGCTACATTCATAGGGTTTCTCCCCTGCATGGATTCTCAGGTGTCTAGTGAGGGAGGATACGTGGTAGAAGATTTTGTTACATTCTTTACACGCGTAGGTTTTCTCTCTGGTGTGAACTTTCTGATGAACCGTGAGCTCTTCGTTTTTATAGAAAGACTGCCCACATTTCTCACACTTATAGGACTTCTTGGTGTGTGTTTCCTGGTGCACGACGAGGGAAGACTTCTGGCAGAAGGACTTTCCGCATTCACTGCAGTCGTAGCTCTCGTGCTGGGGGGCGGTTTTCCGACGTCTGTTGAGTTCTCCTTTTCTAGAGAGAAAGTTCCCAGTTCATTAATAGGACGTTCAAAGCTTTATCGGTGCTGTGCATCTCTGGATAACTTTGATGATGACGTCACTAATCCTGCTCGACAGGTTCCTAGGGCTTCTCCACTGAGAACACTGATCTACACCACGACTTAACACTGTACAGAATGAGGCTTCTCCTGAAGTCTTGGGGTTTCCTAACGACCACACTGTACTGTAAGCCACCCTTAGCACATAGTTCAGAAAAAGGAAAAGATGACTACAAAGCTTGGCTCTCTTGATCCTAAACCACACCCCTCAGGAAGGCATGCCTGTTTGGGTCATAATCTTTGGGATTCACTCCAGTGCCTGTTTAATGACATTTCATTAATCAACAATCTCTCTCCCGTTCCCAGCATTTCAAAAATGGCTATTCTTCCTCATAAAGCTTCTATCCTACACATTAATTCTTGAACTTGCCTTGAATTTCCAGCCTGATGTTCCTGGTGTTTGGCTCTGGGGTCAGCAACATTCCCTCGTTTGTCTACAAAGGAATCAAGATTTTAACACACCATTATGGTCAAAGGTTGATTCTTAGTCCTCAGGCAAGTATGTCAAGACGAAAGCACTCTCAAATGAAATTTTCCTTTAAACCATTGGTGACAGTTTTCACTGTTTGTTATTCTAGAGGGTCTGGGGCGGGGGAGGGATCGTCTAGATCTGTGCTAGTGACTAACAGCAAGACTACCCACCATGCTGCTCAGAATGGCATGTGGCTTAAATTTTATGAATTGTTGATTTCTGGAATTTTCCATTTAATATCTCCAGATTGCAGTCGACCAGGGATAACAGAAACCACAAAGGAAAATGTAGGTGGAGCAGCCACTGTAGTCAGCAGACCGCAGAGTTGTATTACATTTCTTCATGTGTCCAGAGCAATCTGGAGACCGACAATAAAGTGAATTTCTCACAACACCAATCTCCTCATGTGCTGAGGAATATAGCTGTTTTCTAGGCTTTTGCTTTCCACATAGTTGGCTGCAGGATCCTGAGTGGCTGCAGCAGGCAGCTGGCCATGAGACCATGCTGCAGGTCTTTCCATGGAGAGAAGAAAAAATGGTGTGTTGTGGGATTCAAACATATGTAGACAGCATCTTCAATCATCTCTAGAACTACAGAGAACTTAGGGAGATTCCTGAGAAACGGTTTCTAAAGGAAATCTTGACAAATATTTCAAAGGGTCACATGCAACATAATTTTTTTTTCAAACGCACCAGCACGGTTCCGATTCGGAAGTTCTCTTTCTAATACCCACGGCTCTTTTCCTTTTCTCAACTTGGAGATCACACTTGGCCTAATCACACGGTAACCTATTAAAGAGAAAGGAGATGACATAGTTTCCTTGGAAGTGAGGTATAATTTCAGACAAGCAGTGAGGATCTCGCTTGTGCTTCACACATTTATTCTTTTCTTCCCTTCTTTTTCTTCTTTCCTTTTCTATCTTTCTTTCCTATTCTTTCCTTTTCTTACTTTCTTTTCTTTTTTTGGGGGGGTATGGGGGCTTTTCAAGACAGGGTTTCTCAGAAGCTTTAGAGCCCATCCTGCAACTAGCTCTTGTAGACCAGGCTGGCCTTGAACTCACAGAGATCCGCCTGCTTCTGCCTCCCAAGTGCTGGGATTAAAGGCGTGTGCCACCACCACCCAGCCACAAATTTCTTCTCTAAATGAAGAGGCAGAAACACACATATTTTCTCAGGTATTCCCAAACAGATTAACTGTGAATTGTGAAACAAAGTATCACTCGACTTAGAGAGACTTTACGTGGTCCAGCCAACGGGAGAGGAAATGGAAACAATTGTAGTTACAGATGAGGAAAATTTCTCACCCACAGAGACCAGGTGACGGTAGTTCTCCAGCATCACGTTCTTGTAAAGGGACTTCTGAGCAGGGGTCAGTAACTTCCATTCTGCCTTGGTGAATTCCACAGTAACGTCTCTTAATGTCACGGGTCCCTGAAACAACAATTCCGGTTCAGTCTGAAGTGACCGGGGAGGAAGGCACAAAGGTTGGGAGGTAGAACAACAGCAAAGCACTGGCTTAGCATTTGTGAGGCCCTGAGTTCAACCCCAGGACAAGAGGAAAAAAAAGAAAAGGCTAGTGTATTAAACTTGCTCTGAGTGGCCTCGTCATAGCCACTCTGGATAGCTACCATAAAGCAGTTACACAGTTTGTCAGGGAATTTCTCTTTTGACAAGAGGCCAAGATAATAGCTCCTTAATGTCCGTATGTACAGCACATCTACGGCAGAAGTATGTTCAGGACACAAGCGTTGAGATGGTGACAGTTATCTGTGCTGTGTGGTAGCTGTTAGATTTTATAAGGTGGTCAAGCCATCTAATGCAAACTAGAAAGAAGGAGCTCATCAGCGGCAATGATATGAAGCGTGAGGAACAACAACTATAGGAAAACGGAAGTCACACAGAGTAAGAGCTGGTGGTGGAACCGAGCGGATTAACTTAAGAAGTCAAGGGAGAGGACACAAAGAACGTTTGGCACTTTTCCTTTGTCCCAACAAAACATGTTTTGCACATAATGTAACAGAACTCATGTCTCATGTATTTACATCTGTTCATGAACTTTCCCCGGGGAGACACAGATGTCCCCTCACCATAGACAGGGCACCAATGACAGACCAAAATACTATTCTAATGAAGTCCAACTTGGTGAATCAAAAGGCTTACAGCACTTTTCAAACTCAAGCTTATTTACATAAGAGAAAAATGTGAGCAGATATTCCTCCATTTTACACCATGTGGACCACCTTAAACATATTGCAAATGCAGACAATGGGAGCCACTGATGAGACAGAGCACATGAAAGACAACAGTGATGTGGGCAATGCACACAGCATCTCAGACACAGTGAAACCAAGAAGTATAATACAGCTTTTGTGTGCAGTGGTATGTGTGCACGGGTATGTGCAAGCATGGGGCCAGAGGCTGAGACTGTGTCTCTTGCTCTATGATCCTCCTGCAGCAGTTTGAAGGAGAACGTCCCCATAGGCTCTGGCATTTGAACACTGGGTCCCCAGTTGGTGCTACTGATCAGGGAGGTCTAGTTGGTGTGGCCTTGCTGGAGGAGGTGTGTCCCTGGGGTTAGGCTTCAGGAATCATGTGCACATGTGTCCATCTTATTTTTGTTTTACTTTGGGTTTTCAGTTTTTGTGAGACAGGGTTTCTCACTTGGGCCTGAGTTTCACTTGAGCCACTGAACGTGGCTCCTAGTTGGTGGCGCTGCTTGGGGAGGTTTCGGTGGTGTGATGGTGGTGTGGTCCTCCTGAAGGAAGCATAGCTTCACCTACTTCCAGTTCATGCTCTGCTTCATGCTTGTGTTTGAGACTGGAACCCTCAGCATCCTGCTCTGGCCACTATGTATGTTGCTTGCTTACACGCTTCCCAACCACCATGGACTCTTGTTCCTCTGTAGCCATTAGTCCAAGTAAACTCTTTATTTCACGGGTTGCTTTTGGTCACGGTGTTGTATCACAGCAACAGAAACATTATCGACACACCCAGCTTTCTACACGGGTACAAGTCCTCAGAGCTTCCTGGCAAGTGCTTTACCAACTAAACTATCTTCCTGGCTTCTAGGAACTTATTTTATTCATGATCAAATCACAATAAAAGTTGATTTTATTATGATGTGTTATGAGAATATAGCTCAAGCGTTGGTTCAAAAGTCTTCTGTTAGAAAAGTAAGTTATGTATTCCTAAAAGTACATGGGAAGGTGGTCCTAGGTGTGTAAGAAGGTAAACTTAGTAAGCAAGGAAGAGCAAGCCAGTAAGTTGAGTTCTCCTATGGCCTCTGTTTCAGTTTCAGACTCTAAATTCCTGCTTGAGTTCCTGAGCTGACTTCCCTCAATGCTGGACAGTGTCTTGGAAGTGTACACCAAATAAATCCTTTCCTCCTTGAGTTTGTTTCGGTCAGCGTTTGTAGCACAGCAATAGAGAACAAGCTAAGACATTAGCTTACGGTGTTTATACATTTACATGTGAGTATGAGTGTGGGTGTAGGCTGGGGAGCTGGGAAAGAGACTAAGCGGGGGAGAGAAGGTGTTCAGAGGGGAGACTAGGACATACACCCTGAGAGCAGAAAGGAAGCTATGAGGTAGGACAGAGGGGTGCAAGGCGGGATGTCATCAGGAATGGGGAGAACAATGAGTTGTGGGATCAACCTAACAATTTTTGCTTGAAAATGACAAAAATGAAACCTAATACTGTATATACGTTTCAAAAATTTAAAAACAAGAAACATAGAAATCACTAGAGAAGATCAGCAACAGATCTGAGCAGCCCGAATACAGAATCTGTAAAGCTGACAGCGTCCTAGCACAACTCTGACTCAGCACTCTAGTGTGCGTGTAATGCGTTACCTGTGACTACTCACTCAAAAAGAGAAGCAGGACCATCAGAAGATCCACGCACTGGGGAGGCAGAGGCAGGCGGATCTCTGTGAGTTCCAGGCCAACCTGGCCTACAGAGTGAGTTCCAAGACATAGAGAAACCCTGTCTCCAAAACAAACAAACAAACATGTTCATCATGGAAAACAGAAACTGTAAAACCTAGGAGATGGTGCCAAGGTTTGGTTTATAAGTGTCCTTCGAAAGTCTGTAGGTTTCGAGGCTTGTTGGGAAGCTGACATAATTCTTAGAGAGCCTAGACAGACATCGTCAGGTCCCTGGGTGTGTGTTGCTGAAGAGCATTGTGGAGCCCTGGTCCCTTAGTCATAGTTATAAGAAGTTTCTCCCCCTTACCCCATGACTCCTACCGTGATGTGGTGGCTTGTCACAGGAACAAATAAACGCAACTGAGTCAACTGACCACAGACTAGCACCTCTGAAGCCAGAGCCAAAACAACCCATTTTTTTTCTTCTAAGCTGACAGGGTATCTGTTATCGCGACAGCAAACTGACACAGAGGGGACTTCCTTAATTTGATCAAAGATGTTTCTATATGACCCGCACCTACTGTGATACTCATGAACAACTAAAATCTGTCCTGCTAAGGGGGACAAACAAATAAGTCTGCTCTCAGCATTCCTATTCCAGCAGCATCCTAGATAGAAATCATAGCCAGTGCTATAAATAACAGGAAATATAAAGACTACAAAAGGATAAATAAAACTATTTCTCTTTGTAGATAATATTCATTTCTGTGGACAACATCAAAAAATCATCAAAATACTTTCTATGATTAATAATTGAGTCAACTAAGGTCAATATTGTTTAAGTATGTATTTCTATGAATAGCACCATTAAATACTTAAGTGTTAATCCAACTAAATATGTGCATGGACTATATAAAGAAAATCATATAACAATGAAGAAAAAGCTCAAAGGCCTGAGCTCAGAAGACCACTGTGTCAACCTTAGACCAATCGGTATATTTAATGCAATTCCAATCCAATTTTTACAAGGCATTTTATAATTGTCAAACTAATTCTAAAATGTATGTGGTTTTGCCAGCACAGAGGAAGTGAGGCTGACCAATACCTATAAGTTTGAGGCAAACTCAGTTTATGTTATATTGAAAGTGGTTTTCAAAAAACATGAATTAACTTGCTAAAAATTGAATTCATATTTCCCAAATGACCAAACATGTTGAATATTTTTTCACATATATACTAGCCATTTGTATTTCTCCATTTGTAAGCAAATTTTGTATATTTATTAAATTATTTATTCTACTTATGTTCAAGTTTTTGGGTCTTTATATATTCTAGATATTAATCCCTGTTAGATGAAGAGCCGACAAAGATTTTCTCCCATTATGCAGCCCGTGACTTCAGTCTGGTAATTGTTGCCCTTTGCTGTGAAGAAATTTTTAGCGCAGCGTGATGCATTTCTCAATTTTTGAAACTCTTTCCTGAGCTACTGGAGTCCTGCCCAGGAAGTCATTATCTGTGATTGTATGTGGAAGTGTTTCTTGTTTTCCTCTAGCTGTTTCAAAGTTTCAACCTTACATTAAGTGGGGGAAAGAAGACATGATAGTAGAAGAAAGGTTATCACAGACTAGGAAGAGGGTATGTGGGGTGGAGGACACACACACTGTTGTAAGAAATAACCTCAACCCATAATTTAAAACTTAATACAAAAATTAACTAGAGATGGAGCAGAACAAAAAAAAATTAAATCTAGGGGCTGGAGAGATGGTTAAAGGCACTGACTGCTCTCCCAGAGGTCCTGAGTTCAATTCCCAGCACCCACATTACAGCTCACAAGAATCTATAACTTGAGTCCCATGGGATCCTATGCCCTCTTCTAGTGTGCAGACATACAAGTAGATAAAACACCCATATACAATAAAGTAAATGAACAAATCCCTTAAAAATGTACATCTATACTTTTTTCATCTTTTGAAAGTAGTTTAGTAGGGCTGGAAAGATGGCTCAGAGGTTTGCTCTTCTAGAGGTCCTGAGTTCAATTCCCAGCAACCACATGGTGGCTCACAACTACCTGTAATAAGATCTGGTGCCCTCTTCTGGCCTGAAGGCATACATGCAGGAAGAACCCTGTATACAAAATTAATAAGTCTTTTTTAAAAAGTGAATGTAATTTAGTAACTTAAATAAAAACTTATTTAACTGAACTTGGACAGAAATTTGTTTCAGTCAGGTGGGAGATACTTGTTGAGATGATGTGGACTCCATCAAAGAGGTAGACGGACTTTCATTTTTTCTTTCTTTTTTTTAAAATATTTTTTATGGTTTATTTAATGTGCATTGGTGTGAAGGTGTCAGATCCCCTGCAACTGGATCTTCAGACAGTTGTGAGCTGCCATGTGGGTGCTGGGAATTGAACCCAGGTCCTTTGGAAGAGCAGTCAGTGTTCTTAACCACTGAGCCATCTCTCCAGCACAGGCTAATGAAAGCTCATCTTCACCTTCATGTTTTCATTCTTCCCAATGTTGCAGCCCATGGGGCGGTACCACTCACACCTACTGTGGTACCGCC